TAGAATAGAATAGAATAGAATAGAATAGAATAAGGGATAAGAATAGAATAGAATAGAATAGAATAGAATAGAATAGAATAGAATAGAATAAGGGATTAGAATAGAATAGAATAAGGGATAAGAATAGAATAGAATAAGGAATAGAATAGAATAGAATAAGGGAAAAGAATAGAATAGAATAGAATAAGGGAAAAGAATAGAACAGAATAAGGGATAAGAATAGAATAGAATAAGGAATAGAATAGAATAGGGGATAAGAATAGAATAGAATAGAATAGAATAGAATAGAATAGAATAGAATAGAATAGAATAGAATAGAATAGAATAGAATAGCAGAGTTGGAGTTCTTCTTAAAAACTCCCAGTGATGAGACACCCACAACTTCTGGTGGCAAGGAATTTCTCCTTTATTCTAGCTTGATTAGTTTCCATCCTCGGCTTCTTCTGCTGCCTTCAGGTGCTTTGGAGGAGGGGCTGACCTTCCTCCTTCTCTTTGGGGCGGCCCCTGAGATCTTGGAAGACCGCTATCATGTCACTCCTACTCCTTGTTTTCACCCCCAATTCCCTCAACCGTTTGCTGCAAAAAAAAACGGTGTGGATCCTTTTTGCATCGTGGTGACCAAAACTGGATGCAGCATTCCAAATGCGGCCTTACCAAGGCATTATAAAGTGGTACTAACAGTTCGCGTGGTTTTCATTTTGTCCCTCTGTTTATGCCTCCAAGGACTATGTTGGCTTTTTCCGGCAGCTGCAGTGCTTGACACCAAATCCAGAAGTCGTGAGTTCTAATCCTACCTTAGGCACAAAGGCTGCTGGCTGACCTTGGGCCAGCCTCTCCCTTTCAGCTCCACCAAAGAAGCAAATCACTTTTGGAAATTTTGCCCAGAAAACTGCAGGCACTTTTCCCAGACAGTCTCCCCCAAAAGATAGTCACTCCAAAAATCCTTAGATATTTCAGGTGAAAAGTGAGGGAGGAAAAAAACTCTTTGGCTTTGAACCCGGGGAAAGCCAGCCTGGAATGATTCCTTTCTTCCTGGCCTTGAAAAAAACAGATTTTGACTTTCCAGCAAATTCCTATACCCGATTTTTAAATTTGAAGTCTAAGGGAAGGAATGCTCCCTCCCACCTCTCATCCTCTTTCTTTCCATCTTCCTTGTTTTTCATTCACTCTTTCTCTCTCTCTCTCTCTCATCCTCTTTCTCTTTCTTTCCATCTTCCTTGTTTTTCATTCACTCTTTCTTTCTCATCCTCTTTCTCTTTCTTTCCATCTTCCTTGTTTTTCATTCACTCTCTCTCTCTCATCCTCTTTCTCTTTCTTTCCATCTTCCTTCTTTTTCATTCACTCTTTCTTTCTCTCTCTCTCATCCTCTTTCTCTCTCTCATTCTCTGGATGGATGGAAGGCAGGAAAGAAGGAAGAAAAAAGGGAGGGAACGGAAAGAAGAAAGGGAGAAGGGAGAAGAAAGAGGCGGGAAAGATTCAATCCCGGATCGAATTCGGTGCAAAGAAATCAAACCTGCTGATTTAGGCGTAGTTGGGAATCAAAGCTCGTCTCGCACAGTTGCGTGTTTTCCCCGGGACAAATACCTCTGGATCCCAGACAGGAAGGTGGGGGAAGCAAAGTCGGGAGCGGGGATCGAAAACGCGGGGAATAAAATTGAATCCCCCTCTTACAAACGCCCATGATCGGCGTTCACACGAATACACGCGTGCACGGACACACACGTTAAGAAAAGAGAACCCAGGAAAAATTCCTGGCGTTGCCGGACGATCATGAAAGAACCCGGGGGGGGGGGCAGGGGCATATGCCTACACTCCCACGCGTTTGTGAGGACCTTCAAGGTGCTTTCACACGTGCGCGCGCAGAGATTTAAATACACGCGTTGGTTCCTAGGTGCGTACATAAGCCCGCGAGTTTCTAAAGGCACTCGGGCAGAAACACGCGCGTTCTAGATGCAATACACACCCCTCGCTTTGACTTTACCGCGTTGAACACAATTACACATTCACGCGTCTTTTTCTTCAATCAAATGTCGGGATGTTGTCTGAATAGGGAAAATATACCCCCCATTCTTTCCGACTCTCCCCATTCCTTGAGGAGGGGTCGTGGAAGAGGGGTATAGGTAAGCTGTAGACACTGGCGCGTGCATCGGCATCAACACGTGTATCGATCTCTGAAAGCAAACACGTGTGTGTGTGTGTGTATACAGCTTTTTCGTTTCTTTCCCCAAACGCGAGTGGTTTTAATCAGGTCTTTTTCTCCCAGGGGTGTGTGTCTGTGCACGTGTGCATTTGTCTGAACACCGGACTCGAGGATGTGCGAAGCGTTTTCTCCCGAGAAAGTCGGTAAGGAAGGATCATAACCGAGATCCCCCCAAACCTCAACGGCCTATGAAGGATCGCGGCGGGGGGATTTCTTGATCGTCCCCGCCGACAAATACACGCGAGGCCGCGTTCAGATGGCTTTTATGCCCACCGCGGGTGGTGCTACTTTCTTCAACAGCCACCCAGACCGGGTGGTCGGGCTCGGGAGAAAACTGGAGGGAGTGTGGGGGGGCGGGATGGTCCCAGGTCTCCCAGTTTCGAAGCGCCCGATTCTCAGACGACCTTTCGTCCGATGGGATTAAATCCGAATTCGCGCGGAGAAACGAGCTGACGGCTGCTCCTCGCTTCGTAAGAAAACCGCGCCGCTTAACACCCGCGTGCGGGTTCCCCACCACCGCCACCCCAGTCCTCGTCCTCCAAGGACACCCCTCCTGTTCGCCTCGGCAGAAATCGAATCAAGCTTGGCAAAGAAAACTGGCTCAATCCGGATCGCAGGGATTAACCGACGCAGCCAGCTCCGACCGACCTCGCTCCGTAGTCGCACCAGAATACAGCAGAACAAAGCTAAACTCGGGCGGCTTCCTCCCCACAATCGCTTCTCCTAAGCGGGTAAAGCCCCCTTCCCCGCACACTGCATTCACACGACCAGTTCAACCTGCCCCCGTATTGAACCCTCCCTCTAAAGCGCCCCCCCCTCCCCCCCCCCCCCTTTTTTTTCTTTCTTTGGTGGCATCTCCAAACTGGTCTGTTTTAAGCAAGAGAAGCCTCGGAGGGCCGCACAACCCGCGTCTGTCCCCTGCGCTGGTTCAGCGTCTCGTGGGAACGCGACAAGCGTGTCAAATTCGGACGGGGCGGGGGGAGGTCGTGACCGACATCGTCTCCCTCCCGGAACGTCTGACACGGATTGAGAACTTCCGGAACGCCTCCTGTTTTGTGGAACTGTTAAATAAATTCCCCAAATAGGTTTAAAAGGCTTAAAAACAACAACAAATAAATCCCTAAATTGCGATTCTTGCCACTGCTTTCGACGCCCGGAGTCGGATCTACGGAGTAGAGAAAAGGGGTGGCTGGGAGAGTCTGGGGTCTTTTAAAACCAGCCTGCCTTAAAATCACCCCCATTTTATAGAGAGGGGGCAATACATGGAGGCCACACCCCGAATTAGGTTTCAGTCGCTGCATCACTGCGTTACCTATACCTTCTCCAAAATGTAATTCTATTTTTAACTCCTTCTCTCCTTTATTCCTCTCCCCCCCCCCTTTCCCCCCCTGCTCCGTTTCCCACACACACACACACACACACACACACACACATGGGATTGTGGGCCAACGTGTCTTTAATTGGGTATTAAAAGAAGCACCTTCTCGGAAGTAGTTCAGTCGCTCTTCTGGCATTTGAGACGAGGCAAGCTCGGCGCTTTCCTCCTCGAATTGCCGGTTGATTTTCTGAAAACTTAATTTTCTGTTAAATATTTCTTTCTTTTCTTTCCTTTTTTTTTTTTAGCTTGGCTGAGATCGCAAAGACTCCCTCTTCCCACCGACCCCGGCCAAAAGGAAACAAACAGGGGGAACCCCCTCTCTCCGAAATTAATTCGGGGTGATTTCTTTCGGGGTGTTTTTTGTTCTGTTTTTTTTTTGCGTGAAAGTTGGAAAGAGGCGCCGAGGAACAATTCGCGAGAGACGGAAACGCAGCTACCTGTTGAGGCTAAAAATTTTTTAAGGGGAGGCGTAGTTTTTTTCCCTCCCGGCTACCCAGCGCGAGATTGGAGAATTCTTGCAAATTCTTGCGTTCTTCTTCTTCTTCTTCTTTTTATTTTATTATTCGCCCGACTTTTCTCTGACTTGCATCTTTAAAAAAAAAAAAAAAACCCAACTTTCCCAGGCGACAAAAATGTTCTTTCTGGGATATTTGCTGTTCATTGGCGGAATGACCCAGGTTCTTTCGAGTTATCCCATCTGGTGGTAAGTTAGTTGTCTAATTCCTTAATATTTCGGGGCAGGGGGGGGGGACACCCACTTTCTGACGAAGTTAGGCTGCCCAGGAAAGGGTGGGTTTCGCCTTTTCCTAACCCGTTGTCGGGAACCGGGTGTCACTGGGCACCTAGGACATTGCGGTTCCTAAGATAATTTTAAGACCTCGGTAATTTTGCTGTCTTAGATTTTTCCCCAACTCGGTGTTTGTTTTGAATGGATGAACTCAGCACAAAAAAATAATTAAAAAATTAAGGACACTATGGGTGGTGGGGGGACCGTGAAAAGGTGGGGAAGGGAATGAACGGCAGAAGAGATTGGTTGGTTTTTGTTTTGTAAAGGAATACACTTTTGATGCGCTCCCGGGCTAGTTAAATGAAGATACGAGTCAGATTTGGGGGTTTTTTAAAAAAAAAACACACACGTGATTTTAACTTAATTATGGTTTTTTAAAAAAGAGCAGGAAACAAAATGATATTTTTTTTTTAGAGACAGAATCAAACCAAAGGGGCAAAGTAAGGCGGCTTTGGGAAGGAAGCGTAAAAATAGAAAATACTTTCTCCTTAAGAACAGGTTTACTTTTCTTCTGCGCCGTTTCTCTCTCTCCTCTGTTTAGAAGATTAGCCTTGTAAAGAAGTGGGGGGGGGGACTTCGCTCGTTTTCGTGCCCCTTTCTCCCCCACCCGGGGCAAAAAAACAAAACCCCAGTGAAAAAAAACGCAGGATATTTTCGAAAGTGGCTGCTCTCTCTCTTTCTCTCGTTTGGTAAATGGTTGAGAATCGACAGCCGCCCGGGCTTGTTTTTCTGCCTTCTGGCTTATAACTGCAAATACATGATGGGGGGGGGGGGGGTTTGATGGTAAGGGAGGGGGGGGGGCGGTGGAGAGGAAGCCAAACTCCCCGAAGCTTCGGGTGAAGCTTTAAGCGATTTGCTGGGTAAACGCGGAGCGAAGCGGGCTTTTACCCTTCGCTTCTTGGCCAGATGTGATTCCGGCTATCCAAGCTTCGTCCTTGCGATGCGAGGATGTTTCCCTTGCCCTCGCTCTCGGGGCTTGGAGGGCAGGAGGGGGAAGGGAAGGGGTCATCTCTGGCCCCCCTGCCGGCTGCCTTAGCCCGACTCCAAACACCCCCCCCCTTTTTATATATGTATATATAGCTGAGAGGTCGGGTTCTGAGCAATTTTAACCGATCCGATTCGATCCAACCGGTCGGGCACCTTCCTAACCTCGGAAAGCACCCCGAGACTTGCCCATCCCCTGCCCCGGTGAGGCGCCGGGGCCCTGGCTGGCCTGGGAAACTGCCCCTCCCTGCCCGGCGGATCGCAATTGTCAGAAGCGGGAAGCAAATTGGCTGCTGTCGGAAGCGGGTTTGCTGCAACCCAGAAATCGAGGGGAACGCGGCTGATTTCGGAGGGGTGCAGCTACCTTCTATTCTCCCGGGTGGGGGTGGGGGAGATCTTGGAGGGTGGGGGTGAGGAGGTCGGGAGGCAAAGCTCCCTCC